TGGGCACCGCGATGTACACCTAAAAATCTCACGTCGTATCGAACATCCTTGCTCTCCAGGTTGTCCAAAATATTCCACACGGTCTCCGGCGAGAAGGACGGAGTGATGGAATTAGGGCGGAACGGATGGGAGCCGCGACACCTCGGATATTCTCGTGTTTCCTCGAGCGTTGCGCAAACGGTGTAACACCCCTCGCAAAAGAAGCGTAAAAACATTGAACGTGACCCGATTCACTCGACTCGGGTTATTCATAGCGGTACACGCGGAGTCTCCTCCGTCGCGGCGCGCCAAGACATCCGCGCCGCATCCGTATGCGTGCGTGCGTGCGTGCGTGCGTGCGTGCGTGCGTGCGTGTGCTGACCGAGTGGCGGCAGATTGAGGATGACGTAAGCGCGTTAAGAGCCCTGAAACAGTTAATTCTCGCCGTGCCGGCCTGGCCGTCGCTTAAACGATACGCCTGCCTACGCAGGCTATCTAACGTCGTTTTCATAGTCTCTCGATTGTGAAAGATAATTGAATTTCCCCCGGCGTTAACCGGATAATATATCGAGGTACTGTGCGTGTTTTATTCTGCGACGCCGCGCGCGCGCGCGGTGAACTTGGCGAACCGGCAGCGCGCGGAATTTCAGAGTGAAACTTACGGTTGATTTAATTAATGGCCGCCTAACGTAAAACTGATTAACTGGAAACTGTGGAAAAAGCGGAATCTCTCTTTCTCTCTCTCGTGTTTCTATTAAAAATCCCCCACTTTCTCTCCCTCTCTCTCTCTCTCTCTCTCTCTCTCTCTCGCTTTCGCTCTCTTCCTCCTCCTCGCATGTTAATGAGAGAGATAAAGGGTTAATTTTGCTGCGCTTCAACCGCAAGCTTTGTGAGTCTCTGTGCAAACCCGCCGCAAGAAAGAGAGGGAGAGGGTCTGAACATCACCAGGGGTTTCGCCTTAATTAACCGCCCTAAATTCGCGTGCCCGCATGAAGGGGGGGAAAAAGAATCTGCCAAAGAAGCGTTTCTCAGATTAGAGGCTCGCCTTTGTCTCGCCGCGCTTTTCAATGGGACTAATTAATTTTTCGTCTGCCAGTCGCGGCTGCGGCCGGCCGGCCAATTAGCAGCCGCCGCCGCCGTCGCCGCGTCGATTCCGCGAGATCGATTTTTCGCGCGAGATCCTTGCGCGAAACGTATCGGAGGCGTACCCGACCGCGGAGGGAGGCGGATAATCGCAGAAGAAAAATGAACCTCGGGTCCGGTATTGTCAGCGCGATGATTTAGCATTTTCCCCGTTTAATTATGATGTTCGTCACTTGACAATAAGGGGAGACAAACTTTTCAAGCGGCGCCGGTAGATGCTATAATCGCGGTTATTACGCGGAATCTTCAAAGAGCACACGCAGTCCTTTTCCGATCGCGGAGAAGCGATTGAGGGAAAATCGGATTTCCACGGATTAACATTCCGGTTAAAAAAAAGTAAGAAAAGGCAACACCTGGTGAATACGATTTATCAGAGCTTCTATCTGCGAGATTGATACGACTCGTTTGTCTCTCGTACGTTATTATTAAATCAGATGACGTACAAACCGATTGCGATAGCATCGACTGATAAGAAGAGCAGCCGGCCGGTCGGCGCGGCGGCTCCGAGTTGCCTGCGGAGGAAATCCTAGAAGAAGCGGCCGGATCGGTTTCCGCGGTCACGGGCAATATTTCGCCGCCGCGCGGATGCTTCCATGCAAATGTCGTGATCGATAACCTCCACCGCCGACGCCGATCGCGGCACTTCCCTTCCCTCCTCCGCCTCTCCTCTCCCCCGGCCTTTTTGCCCCAGCGTCTTTCGCGTTGGCGCAACGCGCGCGTTCTCGTCACTTTCCCGCCCGGGTGGGTTCTCCGGGGTGTTTACCCCCGAGCAACAACGAGCGAAGCCGTGCGAGATGCAAATTTCCGAATCAACAATTTAAAGCCGTCTAGCCGTTTAATTACGGGCCCCGCAATTTCTGCGCTCTCGCGCTGGCTGCGCTCGCGAGCTGCTGGCTGATTTATTTCCTCGCCGAGAGAGAGAGAGAGAGAGAGAGAGATAAGTTGTACGCGATGCGCGTTTATTCGCGGCAATTGCGAGCGCTTTGGAACGCGCTCGGCGATGAAGCGACGAAGAATTTCCCCTCGAAGATCCTCGGATCCTCCGATGCCGCGGCGATTGCGCGACTTTATATCGCTCGGTTACGCGCAAACGTTCCGCTGGATTTCGCGGTGGAGGAAAATGGCGACCGAGTGATTTTACTAGGGAACCGTTTGTTCACTCTCACCGACGTCTCATTCATCCGCTCTTGTCCTTTTCTATCATCCGACGGTATCATATATTATTTGCAATAAACGCTGCCGTGAGACTGAATCAGTTACGGCATCTTTCAGGGGAATTATCGAGGAGAGTCAAGACTTTTGCACTCTTCCAGTAATACTGCCGCGCGGAATAATTTCTCTTTCAGTCTGCGCGCCGCCATTTTGGCCAATTTCGAGCTGACTTTCCCGATGGGATCGCAACAATCGGCTAATCCCTTCACACGACTGATCAAGACTGTTCTTTAGATTGACTCGCGATGAAAAATTCGCGATGAAAAAAGAAGTCGAGCGGCGTCCGATGCGCCCGAGCTTGACAAGTAAACCTCGGGAGACATCAGACGCCGATTTGTTTCCAATTTTTTATAGTTATTTTTTGTGTCAAAATATAAAGAAATCTGAAGAAATTATCATTTCTAGCTTAAATTAATTTCTTCAATTTTTTCGAAATTTCTGAAGTTTTGCACAAGTACACTATTTTACATATATTTGAAACAGTATTTCTTAGAAATATATGTATCTGATTTGTTGAAACTTGCACACATATGTCGCCTATTATGAATCAGAACCATTTTGTAAAATTCAAAATGGCGGGTCTAATATGGCTGACGTTATTGTTGAAAAAGTGTTCAGTTTTATGCTACATTTGACATTGGGTAATCTTTCGTCTCACTATCCAGCAAGCTCATTTTAACATGAAAATCTGGTAAAAAATGAACAAGAAATGAACAAAAAGAAGAACAAGAAGAAAGACTTTTTTTCAGAAGACTTGCGCAAAACTTGAAGAATTTCGAAAAAAATTGAAAAAATTTTAATTTAAGCCAAAAATGATGACAGATTTCTTCATATTTTGACATAAAAAATAATTATAAGAAATTGGAAACAAATCGGCGTCTGACGTTTCCCGAGACGTTTACCTGCGAGCTCGAGTCGGATCTCGTTATTTACGCGAGACTCACCGCGGCTCCCTCCCCGCGTCGGGAGGGAATCGTTTGTAACGCGAAGGCCTCAGCGACGCGCACGTCCAATATTTTCATTAGAGCGAGATCGAGCGCCGATCGATCGCGCAGCTGACAGATGGAACGGGACGCGGCGCGTGACAGTCGTCGCACCGGGCGTCCGGTGCGCGACGCGACCAAGGTAAACGCGTATTACGCGCCATTGATTTTTCTCGCCGCTATTATAACGCGCCATTGAATCGCCATCCGTTGTGAGCGCGGCGCGGCATGCGGTGTCTTACCACACCCGGATTCGCGCGACACTTAATTGTCCCGTAGGTGCAGCGCGTGTGCTCGGCCAATATTTGCTCGATTGTCACACGCGTAATCGGTCGTCCCCTGCGGTGGCTCGCGTTAAAAGCCGGCGGCGACGCGCGAACAAAATTTCGCCTCGTCTCAGCGCTTTTTCGCCTCCTCAGCGTGTCCTCGCAATCGCGCGGCCGCCGGGAAATTCGCCGCGAACTTCTCCCCGTTCCGTGTACGTAACTCCCCGAGCGTCTGGAAGCGCGAAAGCGCCGCGGCGCTTCGACAATCTCCTCGTCGAGAAGAAATCGGTGAAACTGCTGGCAGCAGTAACATTGCGCCAGGTCAATCAATGTGCCAACTCCGGCCTGCCGCGGGCCGGGCCGTTCTGTGCGCGAGACCGCAGCGAATAAATACATATCGCGACACAGAGAAAGAGAAAGAGTGAGAGAGAGAGAGAGAGAGAGGGTCACACAGCATTCACGCCGGCACGTCAGAGCGACGACGTCGCGCGACGCACGTTGCATTATATCGAGAGCATAATTGGCCGCGTTATAACGCGCTCGCATTTAACGAGCCGACAAATGGAGCCCTTGCAAAATGCCCCGTCGTCGTCGACGAACAAAAAGCCGCCCCTGCCTGAGCCCCGCCCCGCCCGTCCGGCCCTTGGCACCGCGGCTAACATCTGTTACCCTCTGTCGCTAATTGTTATTGCACGTAGGACGGTGCGCGTTGGCCGCGCGGTGACGGCCATTAAACTTCCCCATTACATTATTGCCGCCGGGTCGGTCGATCGGTCGATCGGTCGATCGCGGTCGGTCGACCGGCGGTTTGAGGAGGCTCTTCTCGGCTGACGGGAACTTTTAACAGCGGCCACTTACGAGCTCGCTCGCTCGCTCGCGTTGCCGCGCGCGCCCGGCGACGATCTCCTCTCGCCGCGCTAAGAACGTGATTTATCCGCGCCGGCGGATTAAAAAACACGGGCACCGCGCGCCCGCGGTTACGCAACCTGCCTCCTGGCCCGCGACACGCACACACACACACACACCAAGTCTGTGTCTCTGTGTCGCTCTGCGCCGAATTCAACAGAAATAGGTGACTGACTGCGGCCAGATGTCTGCGCGCGCGGCGTTTACACAAACGCGTTTATTTTCGGTCGCGCGGTTCTTTTTGACGGAGCGCCCGCCTTCGCTTCCAGCGCTGCTCCCTCTTCTGTGCTTCTGCCTTCTTTCCCTCTCGGCTGGTCTCGCTGTAAACCGAATTCCGCAACGGAATAATCGCCGTGTGCAATTAGCACGGCGAACGTGTCACTGCGCTGTGAAGCCGCTGGCATGAGCTCGATTTTTGCCTCGACGTTGCCTCGACACGCTCTCCCCCCCAACGCGAACCCGCATTCGCACTCGGCAGATCTTACTCGGGCCTCTTTTTTGTGCGTTACAGGAGGATCTACCGACGGATCAGGCATGGAACCCATCACAACGATTGCGCAGTACAGTTAAGGTAAAGGAACTTTGCTCGTATACTCGGCGGCTGTGTTTCGTGATTAATGTGTCTAATTAACCCGCGCTGCGCAATTATTTAGTCAAGAGTCATAAGTCACTTCCGACGGAGATAGACGATTATTTCTTTTCTCCCTTCCGGGCGCTCTTTCTCGCGGGCTCGGGGAGCCAATAAGCCAATCACGCGGCACCTGAGAGCTCGAATAGCAAGTTGCTATTGACGAATATGAGAGTGAATCATCTAACTAGGTAGAGATTCTAAGATATCTCTGCCACTTTTTATGCGAGAGGGAAATATGTTTGCGGTATATTTTTATTATTATTATTATACTGAATATGAAACGAAGACAGACTGCTACTTTTCTAATAATTACTGCACCACGAAGTTATTTTTCCTTCTGAATTTTATCAACTCAGATTTTATAATTATATATATATATATATATATATATATATATATATATATATATATTGTAGTTTTTTAATTAGACTCGATTGCGAATGTTTCACGGGAATATTTCACGGGAGTAAATCCGCGAAGGGAAAGACACGGAGTTAGCTTACGGCGTAGCGCGATAATTTAATTACGCGTGTTCTTTGACTGTCGCGCTCGTCCAGCAGCATTTTCGCCGAGGCAGAATTATTATTACGCCGAAGGTAGGTTTTCTTACGCCTCGCGATCGATTAGAGTCGTCACGTTCAGACGTCGACGGTGATCCGCAGAGCCGGTGTACGGATACGATCGCACCTGTGAAACGACACCCACTCTGGCGATGCGATTCTCGTATACGCGTTAATTGCGGGTCATTGGGTCAATCCCCAACGGCTGGCTCGGGCGCGTTTCATGATGACGCGTCGACGGGCGATTTCCCAACGTCGCTCCACATATAGAGCCGACGGGACGCTGATGCCGCGGGAGCGCGGTTTATTAATAGCGCCGGATTTCCTTTTTTCACCAAGTTCAGCAAACGAATCTCAAGATCGCGCCTCGCGATATCAAATCACCGACGAGATAAGTCAGGAATTAATTTAACCGCCAATTAGAACCGCGCGAGGACGTCGGTGGCGAGTAATTATGTTTATTATCGTAGACGTATTATTACTATTATTCCGAAATAATTATTACGGACTAAGGGCCGATTGTGTTCCAACTTCGTGGTAAGTTAACTGATGGTTAAGTCATATCTCTGTTTTTGTCTAAGTTGAAGGAAAAAACGAAGACAAACATATGATTTAGCTATATCAGTTAACTTACCAAGAAGTTGGAACAACCGGGGCCCTCATTGCTGCAGAATTACAAAGTTACTACTTCGTGCCACTAATTATTTGTTTAGACGTGATATTTAGCTCTTGACGGTTTATACACATCTTGAATGACTATAAACTATATAACTTTGCGAGTCCAAACAACGAAGAAGAACATCTCGAGGAAACGTACGCATTGCCAAGTTTAGGGTCACGGTCTTTCCTCGGCGGCTTCCGATTGGACGCCAAGCGTCGCGCGATAAACTCGTCGTCCGAGAACGAGCGTTTGAATTCGCGCTCGCGAGTGAAAGTGTGAATGACGTGTGTGTGTTCCTCGCGAAGAGTTGGCGACGCCGCGGACGAAACAGTATCTCTCATGAGAGATAAGACGAACGACGCGTCCGCGATTCACGAGATAGCAGCATTCTCGCTCGTCGGGTAATTGCTTTTTTTCTCGCTCGCGTGCGCCCTCCCTCTCTCTCTCTCTCTCTCTCTCTCCTTCTCCCTCTTTCCTTCCCCGGCGCCCTTTCGACATATCGTGGGAAAAATATATCGATCGCGGCTGGCGCGGCTGCAATCGTACGGGCGTGCAATACTGAGCGGTAACACGAGCGCGGCTTCGGGGAACGCTGCTGCCAGCCCGAAGAAATTTATTACATTCTCCATTTTCTTAAAGCAATGTAAAAAGCGATACCTCGAAATAGAATAACTTCGGAATAAATCATCTCGTTCGCGCGCGCGCGAGAAATGATATTTTCGTAATTCCTCCCTTGCCACGAAGTGACTCGTTCTCGATACGCAAAGCGGATATTTTCTATAATAATTGTCTTTTATTTCTGCCTTCTTCGCCGCGCGCGAATCTTGTCGTATTACGATATCGCTGCAACCGCGCTCGCAGTACGCTTCGTTTAAAAGGCAGAGCGGAGTGAGACGAGCTGTGAGGCAATAATGAAATTGTCAAGAGTCGAGTTTTGAAATTCAGACCACGAATTTGGACCGAATTTCGCGACGGAAGTCGACTTCACCTCCGCGCACCCGCGCGCCCGCGTGCGCGATAAAAGTTATATATTAGCTCTCTCTTCCTCTCTTTCTCGGCGAGCCGCCCCTCTTCCCTTCCTCCCTACCTGTACCCTCGTACGTTACATCGCAACCCTCAGGTGAGAGACTTAATGCAGTTAGTCGTACGCGGGAAAGAGAAAAGTTTCGGGCGATATTCGCGCGTTTTTCCCGGAGATGAAACTTCCACCGTACGTAATAATTTTTCTCGCGCAAATGCGAGAGCAACGACGACGACGGCGGCGGCAGCGGCGACTCTCTCGCAGTTCGCGACAATAGCAGTCGCGCGTCCTTGATTTTCGAGATTATTAACTCGCCGGCGAGAAATATCGCTACGACCGTTAAGTAGCCGTTAAGACGAAAGAAGCAAAAAGATCGGCACCTTTCCACGCCGATTTCACTCCACGTCGCGCGTGTCGCAACGTATCACGCGTGTGCCGGCTTTCTATTGTTTTCAAATCAAGCATTCTTTCTCTCGCCGCGCCGGCGCGACGGTGTTTTCGCAAATCCTGCCGAACGATACGCGGAGTATAAGCGGAGTGTTTTTCGCAATTATCTTTTTTCCTCTCTCTCTCTCTCTCTCTCTCTCTCTCTCTCTCTCTCTCTCTCTCTCTCTCTCTCTCTAGCGTGACGAAGAAATTCGCAAGGCGCCTGCGATGCAAGTGCGCGCGGCGCCTCGTTCAAAAGTGGACCAGAGTTGAACAAATTAATCGCGCGCAAACGCATCCTTGCGCACTCTTGCGTAGCTATTCATAGCTCCTTAAGTTACATCCCGAAGCGCCTGTCGTTCAGTATCACGCGTCTGCCGCCGGCGCTTTCCAAACGAAGCATTTCTTGATGCGGAATATCGAGAGAAAGAAATATCTACTAAACAATGAAATAAACAAAACATTATTTGATGGGTGTTCTGATGACACGTTCATTTGCCGATATAGATATGCTTTTGTGCTGAGAACATATTTTCATCGACGGAAAGGAAAACTGTAAAATCTCCCTAAAACCAAAGCTTTTCACGAAAGCAATAGTTTAATATCAATCAAAATCGAAGAAAACATTTTCTCAAGAAAATTTAAACAAAAGAATTCGGATCGCAATGAACATGTCGTCGGTGCTCGAATCGGATGAATATTTCTCCGTTTCCTGCATATTTTTTCTCTCCTAGTAGCTCTCCCTCTCTCTCTCTCTCTCTCCCTCTCTCTCTCTCTCTCTCCTCTCGCGGTGATCCGCCTTTCCTTTCGCCGGGACACAAGGGAGCCTCGTCGTTTATAATTGTTGTAACGCGTTTGCGATGCAAATGTGCGCGGTACTTGGTTGAAAAGTGGACCAGAGTTGAACAAGCTGATCGCGCGCAAACGCGCCTTTCGATCGCGCCGCGAAGGTGCTCTCGGCGTGTATTTTTTCGAGTCACTTACATCGTGAAGTGAAGCGCCTCTCGGCCGAAAGCGCGAGCTGTTGTTGCCGAGCGTACGCTCGCAATAATTGGCGTAGGAAGTCTCATACATAATTCTTTGTGCATTCGAGTCGATAAAACGCGTCCGTCATGCGTCTGCCGATCGGAACTGCCGCGGCAAATACGATTGCGCAACTCTCGAGGGGAGGCCGCGAATGCATTTTTCATCGTATGAATAACGCAGGGCGTAATTCATTATACACATATATATATATATATGTATACGTCGGAAGTACTTCGCTGACAGCATTTTCGTCAAGATGGCGAGAGAAACACCGCCGGGAATGCACCGTTTGGCAGGATTCGCCGCGATCAAAATGAATTATAAGCTTCCTCGCGCGGGCGCGCGGCAATTTCAAAACAAAGAAGACTCTTGGAGTCCCTCCAAAATTCCGACGCTTCGTCATCGAGCTTTTCGTCGGCCATATTACGCGAAAGGGTCGTAAATACGTTGTGTTGAGAAGCGCCTATCTATCTCTCCTTCGCGTTTCGACGATTTCATAAAATTAAAAATAGAGACTGGAAGTCGCGCGAGAGGCGATCATCTCAGGTTCTCTCGTTCTTTCTCTCGGTCACACACTAATCCATCTCGCTATCAACGAGAAGGGAAAATGACCTCGTGAGAGAGCATCGACGACGAGAAACGTTCACGAGACGCACGAGAATGCCGCGAATGCAGCATCGTCGCTGCTCGCGTCTGGATGATGCTTCCGATGCGGCTCACGTCACCGCATCGCGGATTCAGTTGGCAAAGGTTGATGCGGACGAGCGAGATAATAGACGGCCGTGCGAAAGAAATGAAATGTTCTTAATGAACGAGAACGCAGCGTGTGCGGCGTGTATTCGTTACGCGCGATGAATAGCGCGGCATTCGGGGTGAGTGGCGAGCGCGCGTGAGCTTTTAACCCGCTTGAAACGCACGCGCCGCCGCCGAATCATGGGCGAATAGAGTGCTCCTACTGTTGTGGGAAAAAGGGAAAGGCAAGAGGGGGTGGGTTCAGCGGTCGCGTCGAGAGACAGGGCGAAATTCTCCTCGCGATTCAGCAGCGACGCGGGGATCTCGGCTGTTCCGACGACGAACACTCCCGTCGAATTCGAAATAAGCGCGATTATCGCCGGGAACAATCGTGCTGTCACAATCGGGAGAGAATGATAAATAGATGGATGGATAAGTGCATTTGTTATCACTCCGGAGGTCTTGCGTCCTCCGAGAGCGCGCGCGCGCGGCAAGGAGATTCCATGGGAATCTC